GTATATTATGTACGTATAATCATATTTATGATGTTACAGAAGGAAGGATTTTCACTCTTTAAACAGGAAATCATCTATACCAATGGTTGAGTTAAATATTTGAGATGCATGATGTTAAATAAATATATTAAATACTATTTAAATATATGTATTTAAATATCTTCCACTCTCACGCACATTGATATGTTATATATCATGGATGGCTACAAATTTTACTCAGTCATGTTGGTTTTTCTTTTTTTCCTTTTTTTTACCGGGTCTTATTCATGTTGATAATCAGAGAGTCAATGGTAGACCACACAATGTCACATGCATTAATATATCACAGTATTAACAATATTTTTATTATATATGTATATGTGTGGTATGATATTTATGCTTATGGCATAAAAAAAGATTATGAGGTTAATTAATCAGCTATATATATAGTATTTGGTGTCGTATTTATATGCCATCATTAGTGTAAAAGTTTGCAGGTATCTATTAAAAATATAAAAATAGGTGACGAAGCCTATCTTGAACTTTAGGTCTCAAAAAGTTCAAAGATTCAATTTGATATGAATATGTGTATAAATAGAATTCTTAATTAAAAAAATTAAATATAAGCTGGTGTTAACTGTATATGCAGACGTTTCTAAATACATGAATACAACGTTTCCTTTCTAATAATACAATGTTGTGACAACTCATTGCTGATTGCCCATTTTTTTCCCCAAAGAAAATCATACTTAGCTTAATATTTAGATTTGTATTTTCTCGTTCCAAGCTTGGAGCCAAGCTAACTAGCTAGGCCCTTTGCCTCGGGTTTTTTTTTTCTCTTAATGATCAAGAATTTCATTAAAAGAAAGAGAACCCTTTGCCTCTTGTTGTTAGACACCTCGCACATGTAGAACTGGTCTTTCGTATAGAAAAAACTGGTGTAGATAAGAGCAATACTTGACGTACATTGAGTAAAATAAAAGAAATTGGATATGTGTCTCGTACTTTCTGTGTTTTTTTATGTATAAAAAAAACTTTCTTTCTCCTTTTGATTTCTCTTTTGAAGCATTATAGTTATTTTAATGGCAGGAATGAGCTGGGAGAGCATATTTGAGACTTGGGTGGAGCAAGAACCCATTTCAAAATCCAAATCATTGAAGAATAAAACAAGACAATGACAAAGGGAAAATATATTTTTTATGTTTACCCCATCTTTTTTAAAAACTCCTTTATATATATATATATATATATATATATATTTTATTATTTGGGGTTCAGGAACACAGGCTCATCGAAAACATGAACAAACCGAAAGAAAATGTAGCTCCATAAGTATAATTTATTAGCATTAGACAAAGTGTACATATGGCAATGCATTTCTCATTAGTTTATTAGCATTAGACAAAGTGTACATATGGCAATGCATTTCTCATTAGTTTAAATTTCTTATGACCTTTTCTTATATCTTTTGTCTTACTGTTGACTGTTGATGACCTTTTTCGTATAGTTTTTACATGACTTCCTTGACATGAATTTCTTCAATTTCAGACTATAATAAGCTATCAACAAACCATTTTCAGGTTCACGAGGGTTTATTTTGGGTCTATATAACATATGTTTTTTTTAAAAAAAATTAGAGACATAATTAAGCTAGTAAAATTGATTCAAAAGGTTTCATTTTCTTACAAAAAAAAACTTCAGGACATTTTTTACTCAACACAAAAGATTATTAGTTTTTTTATATCTTAAAATCCAAAATAGATAAATTATTCAATTTCATATTAAAATAAGATATATCATGTTCTATAAAAATTATGCATTTAAAATTAATATCAATGAATGACATTTGAACTTAAAATCACTAACTATCGAGACATAAAAATTATGCATTTGAAATTAAGACCAACAGAATGACAGTAAAACCTAAAATCATTAACTATCCAGCCAAATAACTTAGTAATGAGCAAGTCGTTATTGATGGGGGATTCATTGAATCATGTAGGAGTGTGAAAATTATGGGTGGTGGTCCAAAAAAGAAAGAAAAAAAATGTTACATATAATTCACTAATTAGGTAAGTCAATCAAGCCCTTTACCTAAAGATAAAGGGTCAAGTACAATTAACCTTTAAACTGTGAAGGTGTAGACCGGGCATTTTTATTAAGCGGTCAAATTCAGTTAAAGGCCCAAATGGTTCCATTCTGATATTGACATTGAAGTCAACTGATCTAGTGTGTTGTTTGGTGTTTATCTACTAGTGCAGCTCATATATATAATATAATTCCCCCACGTTCATGGTTGAATTATAAGCTATGATTCTATAATTACCTTGATGCATGTAACAACTTTAACAATGATGACAGTTTATTAGCATGGCTTGAATTATGTGGTTTACTAACTCGTAATGTTCATTTTAATCATGATCATCATGATAAGCAAGAGCTGATCAAGTTAATTAGGCTTGGAGAGGTAGATCTTTGTTACCTGTATGATATGATAAGACTTAGGTGAAGTTGTTTCGATGAATCTTGTGAGAATATTAATAAAAAATTAATGACAAAACAAATTTTTTTAAAAAATAAACAAATTCTAATTTTTATTATGACTAAGCTTTACCTTTAATCATTGTGGATTGAATTTTGCAAACATAAAGTACTCATTTTAATCAATTCTTTTCCTATTCAAGAAATTTTAGCAACTTTAATTACTATTGATGTTTAATTTTACTTTTCATAATATTTGCAATGGAAAGTTCAAGATATCATCTAAGAAACTTCACCTAATTAGGTTCCATTGGGAAAATGAAAATTTATTAAAGTTTAGAACTTAGGGATAGGGTCTGGTCCGCTGGTATAAAAAACCTACGAGGGAGGGTCATCATACTTAATATAATGCATGTACAAGCACAATTGTCAGAGATTTCAACTAATTAGTCTTCATATATATATATATATATATACATACACATATATATATATATATATATATATATATATAAAGAAAGACATAAACAATAGTTAAGTGATAATGAAATGAAACATAAAAAGTAGCAAAGAAATGTAAGAGGAAATAGCTTTTAGCCATGCCTGTTAGAAATTTAATCAATGGTTCAATCATGTCACTGTAAATGTAGAAAGCTGGGAGAAAGGTCTATTACCCCATGATGTGAGAAAAAAATATATACTAATCAAGACATCTCTTTCTTTTTTGCTATCTCTCTCTCTCTCTCTCTCTCTCTCTC